ATGTGTTCTTTCCTGGTAGGCAGGTGCGGAGGAGGAGGAGGGAGGTAAAGACGACATTCAGCAGGAGGAGAAATCGGAAGAAGGAAGGTGAGATGGTCTATTTCTAGCCGTCGGATATAATCTCTTTCCCGGTTGGGAGGTGAGGACAAAGGGGAGGAGGAGTAGAGAAATCGGAGAAGGGTTGACACTGGTGACATGGTCTATTTTTAGCCCTCCGATATATACTCTTTCCTGGCAGGCATATGAGGAGGAGGAGGAGAAGGCGGAAGGAAGAGGAGGAGGAGGAGGAGGAGGGCCAGAAGGCGAAGGAAGAGGAGCAGGGGGGAGAAAACGGAGAAGGTCGGTGACATGGTCTATTTTTAGCCCTCGCACATATTCTCTTTCCTGGTAGGCAGGTGAGGAGGAGGAGAAGGAGGAGGAGGAGGAGGAGGAGGGAGGTAAAGGGAACATTCCGGAGGAGGAGAAACCGAAGAAGACTAGTGGACATGGTCTATCTTTAGCCCTCGGATACATTCTCTTTTCTGGCAGGCAGGTGAGGAGGAGGAGGAGGAGGAGGAGGAGGAGAGAGGTAAAGTTGACATTGAGGAGGAGGAGAAGGAGGAGGGAGGTAAAGATGACATTCAGGAGGAGGAGGAGGAGGCAGATGTGGAGATCGTTCATGCTTTGTTGATCATGTGGTGAGCTCGTCGTTAAGTAGTTGATTCCAACGGATTTTTTGATTGATTGATTGATTGATTCCTTCATTCATTGATTAATTCATTGATTGATTCATTGATTCATTTATTTATTGATTGATTGATTGATTGATTGATTGATTGGTTTGTTGGTTTGTTGGGTGATTGATTGGTTGGTTGGATGATTTGATTGATTGGTTAGTTGATTGATTGATTGATTGATTGATAGGATAATTGATTGATAGGATAATTGATTGATTGATTGATAGGATAATTGATTGATTGATTGATAGGATAATTGATTGATTGATTGATTGATTGATTGGTTAGTTTATTGATTGATTGATTGATTGATTGGTTCGTTGATCGAAATTGTGCCAGTGATTTCGAGAACAGCCAACCAATATTACCAGCTCTTTTTTTTTTTTTTTTTTTTTTTTTTTTTTTTTTTTTTTTGAAGCTCCGGTTCATCTTTCACTGACGGAGATCCTTTCTATGATGTCAATAATGATGATGATGCATTATCATCATAATGATTTTTAATTTTCTTGGGGAGGGGTGGTCATCACAAGATATATAGATGATGAGGATTATAATTGCAAGGAGGCGCACAAGGATCAGGTTGAGGAGGATATCACTAATATCATAGTACTATGTTAGTGATTGTCCATGATATAAAGGTGTGTGTAATTTTCAAGCAATTTGAAAAAGGGAAGGGTATTTTTGCAAAAGGACGACGATGGTGATGATCATGATTGTAAGGACTCAGGAGCAAAAGGATTGAAATGAGGAGGAGGGTACAAATATGTCGGTTATTGCCGACACAGAGGGTATTTTTGCAAAAGGGGTCTGCAATTTCAAAAAGGATGGAAAACAGAGGTTATTTTTGCAAAAGGTGTCTGCAATTTTAAAAGAGATGGAAAAGTGAGGGTATTTGTGCAAAAGGCGTCTGTAATTTTAAAAAAAATGGAAAACGGAGCGTATTTGTGCAAAAGGTGTTTGTAATTTTTTTTTTGCAAAAGGTGTCTGCAATTTTAAAATGGATGGAAAAAACAGAGGTTAATATTTGCGAAAGGCGTCTGCATTTTTTGCGAGAGGTGTCTGTAATTTTAAAAAACATGGAAAACGGAGGGTATTTGAGCAAAAGGTGTCTGTAATATCGAAAAAGATGGAAAACGGACGGTACTTGTGCAAAAGCTGTCTGTAATTTCAAAGACGAAGGTGTCTGTGATTTAAAAAAAGATGGAAAACGGAGGGTATTCGTACAAAAGGTGTCTGTAATATCGACAAAAGATGGAAAACGGAGCGGAGGGTATTCGTACGAAAGGTGTCCGTAATATCGACAAGAGATGGAAAACGGAGGGTATTCTCGCGAAAGGGGTCTGGTGGAAAACGGATGGTAGTTTTGCAAAACGGCAATGATGATGACTATGCTGATTGTAACGAGGAGCACGGAGATTAGAATGTCGGCCATTGGCACTGGGCCCATTTAAATAATCATTAAAAAAAAAAAAAAAAAAAAAAGAATGTCGGCCATTGCCGGTGATACAAATGTGTGTGTACTTTTGCGAGAAGTTGAAAAAAACGGAGGAGATTTTTGCAAAAGAGCGAGATTAATAATGTGTCCCTTAAAATTGTCAGCGTCGCATCGGGGGACTCTTTACTTCATCATTACGCTGATCTTCTGTTTGTTAAAGAGGTTCCCCAACCCCCTCAACCTCTCCCTCCTCTCCCCCCCCCACCCCCGCCTCAAAAAAAAAAAATAAAAAAATTCCATCTTTGCACTGCATTCAAATATAGATATATATAATCGGTCATCTGGTTATCGTTCTGCAGGCAAGTGTGTTTTGGCATCCTGGTTGGTCTTGTCCCGTCGTTTGGCCTGTAGTCGGCGGGGGCGGTGCTTGCATGTGGGACTTGTCATCTAGGATTGTCATTTAGGATTTGTTTTAATCTTGTCTGCTTCGATTTTGTTATTGGGCATCCTGGTTGGTTGTTTCCCGTTGTTCGGCCTTTTGAGCGCGGGGGGTGCTTGTATGTGGGAATCGTCATCCGGGATTGTCTTCTCTTTCTTTTTGTTTTTTTTTTGTTGTTTTTTGTTTTTTTTGAGAAGAATCCAAAATTATATTTCCAAGAACAGAGAATCAATGAGGCCGGGGACCTCACAATTCAACCCGGATGGAACCTGCTGGAGACCAACCCTCCAAATAAAACTTCCTGAAAATCGAGTCCAGGGTCCCAGCTACTCTGTTAACATTGGGATCGGAGCCTTTCTTTTTTTTTTTTTTTTTTTTTGTTTGAGCCTTTCTTTCTGTTTTCTTTGCAGACAAGAATGTTTTGATATCCTGGTTGGTCTCGTCACGTCGTGTGGCCTGTGAGTTGGGGCGGTGCTTGCATGTGGGACGTGTCATCTGGGATTTGTTTTGTTGCCCCCTGTTCTGTATTATTTGGCTGTTCCCTTCCTCTTTTTGTTTGCCTCTTTGCCTTCTGGCTGTGTGCAAGTGGGTCGATATGACACACTGGGGTGGGGGCAGCCGCCGCTCAACCTACATCCACGTGGGCGGCCTTGTACGCAAAAGAGGTTCTTTCTGAACAGGGGGAGATGTAAGGAATAAGATATATATATAAAAAACGAATTCATTCTTTTTTCTTCTTTTTTTCGCTTTTGCGCTCTCATACTCATGTGATGATATATGTTTGTGACGATATATATAAATCAACAAAAAAAAAAATCTGGCACTTCCTAGCTTCGACACTGGGTAATTTAATTTGAAGTGGCATTTGGCCACTTGAACCTAAACTGGCTGACGCTGCCGGGATAACTCCGAGGTTTTTTTTTTTTTTTTTTTTTTTTTTTTTAATAACTCCGAGTGTTGAATTGTGAGGTCCTGGAAGTGTCAATTTTACCCGTTGTAATAAAATTTTACACTGGAAAAAAAAAATAAAAAATCAGGCACACGTCAGACAATTCTTATCGTCGATTCAGAACTAAAAATGCCAAATAAAAAAAGAAAAAAAAAAAGAAAAGAAAAGGAAGAAAAACCAAATGCAGGGTGAAGAGAGATGGATGTCTTTCTTCTTTTTTTTTTTGAAGGAAAGAATCGGCTCATTTATTTACAACGTCTGTTTTTTCTAGAGGAACTGAGCAGCATGAGGTTTAACTCCCGGGGCGAGGTCCCACTAGCGAAGTGGATCGAGATTAACCACATGAATCTGGATGGGATATAACGGGAGATGCAGAAAAGCAGTTCCATCTCAATTTCTGCACCTTAACAAACACATGAATCTGGATGGGATATAACGGGAGATGCAGAAAAGCAGTTCAATCTCAATTTCTGCACCTTTACGACAACAACGTCCGGATTCAGATATTCAATCCAATCCTCTTTGATAGTGGAACCTCGCCCCCAGGGGTAGGATGGGCTACTGAAAATTCGGTGGCTGTCAAAGACACCCATGTTCTGTTGAGCCGGGGGTAAATTCGCAGTTGTTTTCACTCATCGAATCCCAATGGGAGCAGATGAGTGAAAACAACTCCGAATTCACCCTCGGCCGGTCAGTCCAAAGCTGACATCTCAAGGCTGTCAACCCTTTCTTACAAAAAAAAAAAAAAAAAAAAAAAGGAGAGAGAGAGAGAGAGACGAAAGGATGGAGCAACTTTTAAATGTTGACGTCATCAGCTTCTTGACCCTCACGAATTTATTTGATCAGTCTGTCCAAACACGATAGCAATTCAAAGGTTGACGTCATCAGCTTTTTTTTAATAGCTCAGCCTTTTTTTAATAGTCAGTCTAAACATGAATAGACGGCCTAAACATGATGACAATTAAAATGTTGACGTCATCATCGTTTGTTTTTTTCCCGACAAAGAAGAGAGAGAGAGAAGAAAGGATGGAGGCTTGGAGCAATTAAACTGCAATTTGCCTCCTTTTTGTTTTTTTTTTCTTTTTTTTTTTCTTTTTTTTTTTTACAGGCAGACGGCGTTGAGACATCACCATGGTCCTTCGGGACATCCGTGAAAGGATGACACGCATAAATCGAGAAAAAAAGAAAAAAGAAAAAAGGAAAAGATATCATCATTCAACTGACTAGCCCCACGTAATTCAGAAATAATTTATTCAAACTATTCTGTTCATTCTGGTTGCGTCGGGATTTGATCATGGGTCGGTATCTCAACAGCTCGTCGGTGTGCCAACTTGAATGGAGCCATTTAAATTTTAAATGTGGGTGGAGGAATTTAAGACGTCATCATATTCGTGACCCTCCCAATTCTTTGAATTTGTTTGTCTATCGCCCTCACTCCACTACACAAGATACTAAATGCATAAGGCCTCGTTCTGGATCCGATGCATTCAAAATGTCGGACTCGTCCAAGTGCACGTGGTCTAGAAAGCAACCAAATGCATGTACATTGTACAGTGTTATGTACTGGAGCGACGCC